CCCTGACTTCTTGCTTCTGTGGCCGTGTTGCTGGGTCCCAGCTAATACCGCCACAAGCCATCAGACTGCGCTGTAGGGATGAAGAGCCACAAGATGCGCTCTACAAGTCCATGAGAAACACACTAGGCAGAGGAATTGCTGGGAGGCAGTTGGGATGCGCCCCTAGCACATCTGGAAGAGCCTCCCATCCCACCATGTGGGTTAGGGTCTTCCTTTCCCCTTTATAAAATGAAAAGTGCAGGAAGGAGTGAGGCCCCCAGCACTGTGAACTCTGCTGTCTGGAGCCCCTTCTGCCCTGGTCGCACCCGCATGCGTGTTTGAATGAGAAAACCCTTTCTGGCAAGTCCGGCTGCATCTCTCTGGCTATCAAGACCTTCCCACGAGGCCAGTTCTGCTCACAGGGAGCACGCGGGGCCAGCTGTCCCCAGAAAAGCCCTGGGGACTCTCCTGGACCTTCCTTCCTCCCCACAATACATTTACCCAAAGGCTTTTTTTCATGTTTCACCAAGTTCTTGGCTGAACAAGACTGTTTAGCTATTCCTAGAAGGATTTCTCTTACGCCATTTAAGGAGGGTCTGAAACATTAGTCTAAGAGAAGAAGAGAGGAATCCTTTTTTATACATACATAATTTAGATCACTTGGTTAACTATGTATTACTCTTCTAGAATACAAGCTCTGTGACTTTATTTGCTAAAGACTTTTACTGTCTGACATATTGCAGAGAATAAAGGTGACAGCCTCACCTCGCAACTCACGCTGCTGATTGCATCTGCAAGACCCCACTCCTTTTCCAAAGGCTGGGAGAGGCTGCTGGGCATGGCCCCAAACCAGACAGGGCTGAGATCCTGCAGGCTGGCAGGGCAGGCACTTCCCAAAGCGAGCGCTTCTCCTGAAGGACATCTTACCAGCAGCTTTTGCCCTTTAGTTTGAAGGTTCTCTACTTTGTCATCTTTGCTGATGACAACTGTGGCTGCATGACAGAGGAGAAGAGAGGATCTCAGGAAATTGCCAGGCACCTGCCTAAAGATTAAATGGATGAAACTGAAAAAAAAAAAAGCAGAAGACCAGTGCACATCTTCAGCTGCCAAACTTAGGGGTTAAACCCTCTCATCAAACCACCTGCTAATTTCTGAGTCAGCTTCAATTTACAGGCTGAGTTAAGGGCAATTCCCACGCAGAGCAAACACTGAATATTAAAAACCTTCCCATAAGCAAGGAAAAAGGCTTTCCTCAGGATGAAGGCAGCACTGCCCTTTGTTTTTCCCTGCAAACCACCTGCCAAGTTTCATCTCAGATATACCTGGCACATCAGGGGTAGCCCGAGTTATTTCTGACGATAAATTGTGAATTGATGTACATCTGTGATTTGTCTTTAAGAACCTGCCTGATTTGTGTGTAATCCCATAATTACATGTTCATAACCATATGCTCTTCTGCTGTTCCTCTGCTGGACAGCCTCCGTCCACAGCACACTGCCTGGCAGACCCAGTTCTGCAGTTGTGGGGAGAGGCAGGAAAGCATCCATCCAGCTGAAGAGCTACAGCTGAAATCGTGACTTGCTTTTCTTTGTAGTCCTGTTTATGTATGTCCTCGGATAGAGGGGCTGGGGCTCAGAAGGGTCTTGCTGGTTTTCCAGTTTGGTTGCTGGGGAAAGATAAACAGCTTGGAAGTATCTCCCCAAAGCTGTTCCCCGCGCTGGGCTGGACCCCACCAGTTTGGGAGGCAGAGGGTGGGTGATCAGCACGTGTTGGGGATACCCAGGGCAGGAGGTCCCTGACCACAGCAACGGTATCTCATCCCAGCCCCTTTGGTAGTAGTCGAGAAGGTTAAGAGGAGTCAATGTCTCATGTTATCCAGCTGTATATCATCTGACAAGTTGCAGCCCTTGGCAGTTTCTTGCTGTCTCATTAAATAGCTGGGGTTTAATTTTACTTACAATACAGAGAAAATAATGGCTAAATACAGCAGCTCTTGGTTGATGGAGAAAGAAAGAACTAGCTCGTTCTTCAATCAAAACAAAGAACAGAATTGATCAATTGCTCCCAGCTGGATCAAACAGCCCGCCAGACCTGAAGTGTTTTGTTTTTTCATGTTTTGTTTTCATGTTAAAAAAAAAAAAAAAGTAATAGCTTTAAAATGAAACAATGTTTCAAATGCAAGAAATAGGACAATTTAATTTAAAAACACTGCCAGGAAATGTTTTGCTTTGGTTGGGGTTTGTTTGTGTGCAAACAGAATCTATTTGTTGCACTGGACAGAAATTGTACGCTGTTGCAATTCGAATCTACATTTAGGTGGGGAAGAGTTAAAAAACCATGAAGCTACTGCCCAGCTCCAGTCTTCCTCGCTGTGAAATGGCTGATTCCGTATGGTTTTCATGGGCTAAAGGCAGGGCAGGGCGGCTGGTGTCTAAGCTGCGGTGGCCAGCAGCGAGGAGAAAGGTGGGAAGCAGCCGGGGCTAGGGGACTCCGCTCCGGTTTTCCATGAGGGATGAGTTCCTTGGTCCCTGCCTGTATATCAGCTGGTAGAGAGCTGGGTAGGAGGTAGGGAGGCTCGTTGCTGGTTTTTCACCCTCTAGGGCTAATTCTCAGCCATTAAAGGGGAACCCTACAGGAGCCTGCTCTGAGGGGAGAGCTTTGGGGATAATGTCATACTGTCTTTAATAAGGGGAAGAGGAGAAGAATTGTAGGCTAATCAGGTATACTTCAATTCCTGGAAGAAGTAATGAAACAGGTGACTTGTGTTCATTTAGAAAATCAAAAGAAACAAAGCAACAGTCAGTCTGGGTTTGTCCAGAGCAAGCTGTGTCAGACTGGCTTGGTTCCCTTCTGCGGCAAAGGGATTGTTTTTATGAGTGGCAGCAGTGGTCAGCCATCCCTCCTGACTTTCAGGCACTGACACCATCTCACACAGCGTTCCTACCAGCAAGCCAAGGAGATGTGGCCTGTTGAAAATGTCCTTAAGAGCTGTTCTCTAAATGCATTTTCCAGAACTGGAAAGATAGAAGGAGAGGTGCGTTGAAAGGTCTCTGCTGAACTCAGCTGTGTTCAGTATTTTCATTCATGGCTTGTTGATGGACCTGAGAAGGGGTTTACCAGCCCCGCACCACCAGCAGCTGCAAGGGTGGCAGGCACAGCAAGGGCAGCGTCTGGATTCAAGCAAATCGAAGAAACAGGCTGGAAAAATAAATAAATGCTGTTCAGCAGAGACAAGTCCAAGACACTAAGGAGGGATCAATCAACTGCATAAATACAAGCGAGGGAACATCTTGTTTTTCAGAGAAGGATGTGGTGGCTGCAGTGAGTCACAGGCTGCACAGGAGTACATTGCTGCAGAGGGAACAAACACCACCCAGGCAGGTAGGAGCAGAGCCTGTCAGACATAAACTGGTCCCCTCACTTTTCTTGGCACATACAAGGCTGAGGCGAGGTTTGTGGCCAGCTTTGGAGTCTGTACTTCATGTGCAGAACCTGGAAAGAGTCCAGAGGACCGTGAGACAGTGGGCAATGAAGAGTCTCAGTGGGCTAATAAATGTGAGAGAGAAGCAGTTTAGCCTCAGGCAGACTTAAATAACAGCAGGAAAGATCTGTGTGGAAATGAGGAGACATTTTCCCTCCAGTAAGGTCAAAATGCTGAAGAGGTGGCATGGCAAGATCTGCCCTCTCTGTTACTGGAGAACCCCAAGAGCGGGTAGACCCACGTCTGTCAGGAGCAAGGTGGGACACAGGAGGAGACCAACTGACCTTGAGGGGTCCCATCCAGTGCTCGTGTCCTGTAAGGTGCCTTTTAGCAGGATATATCCCAGAAGCAAGATTAATTGAATGCAGTTTTACTGTCACGCTTAATTACTTTTGGCAGCACAATGGCACGGGGCATTTTCGCTGCTAATTCAAACGAATTGCCAGCTGGCCCCATTAAATGCCACAGATATCTTCTTTAAGCAGCCATATGGCTTTGGGAACCATCCTTCAGTTTACCTGCTGTCTGAAGGCAAAGGTAGATTAAAAGGAAGCACTTAATTCTTCTGAAAAAAAAATAAAAAATAAAAAAAGCTTCTGGACTCTCCAGTGCTGGCTGCAAGCCTACAGCCGCCCTTGGTGGGCGGCGCTGCCACACCATGCTCTCCTCGAACCCCTCGCATGGAGCTGCAGTGAAACAGAGCTAATTAACTGGTCAAGGCCAACTGGAAAATGAGCCTCCTAAGGCTTTCCAAGCAAGTTTCCCTCCGGTAAAGGCACACCTTGTCCCCAGCCCACGCAGCACACGTCTTCATTAGCTGCAACGAACACGGTGAAGAATGAAGACAGAGGAATGGCCTTTCCAGGCACTCCCTAGCTGCTCAGAGCTCCTTGTAAAAGGTTTTATGCCATTTCTTGACAGAAATAACACAGTAATCAATATACTAATGTCACGTTGAGGTGGCATAGGGGACAGAAATCGAGGACTGTTTGTCCAGATGTTGTTGTGCCTCTAATGATCACAGCCAAGAACTCAAGCCTGGTTTCTGAAGGAAGCCCTCACTCAGTTTCTGGCCTCTGAATTAACGAGTTCACCTGTGAACAAGCAAAGGTGCCACCGCTTGTGGTTTCACAGGATGGGGACTCCTGCCGCAGCCCCTGCTTCTGCAGCGGGCAGCCGACTCTCAAGGACTGATTGCTGCCCAGTAGTAAGAAAATTACCTGTAATCAGGCTGTCCACTTGTCACTCCTTTGCTAATTATGGCGCTCAGACCTTGCCAGAAGCAGCAGCAGATGATTGCATGGTTACTACATGCTTGGGTTCCGAGGGATTTAGAAAGCATCGCTGAGCCTCTCTTCTCTGCAGGGCCCCTGCTAGGGCAGGTAATGCAGCTGCCCTGGGAAGGAAAGAGAGCAGAAGCTTTTGAGAGACTTGGAAGAGAAGAATATCCCCAAACAGCTGGTAACCCTGCTGGAGATTAAGGCAATTCTGAGGACAAATTGCCCTCTCAGAGCTACTATGTTTTTTAAAATCTAAATAGAGCCATCCCCCAAACTACGCCTAAGGAAAGTGGGTGAAATACCCTTTTTTGCAGTTTCCTAACAAATGTTGTGGTCGGGTAGGTTCTTAAAATATTGTAGGAATGTTAAATACCACCAGGGTTTGCATTACCCAGCTGGGCTAAGGCACACCGTGGTCATGAGTTGTCTGTGGGCACAAGCAAACTCAGCAACAAAACTGCCAAAAAGCCATCAGGTGTAGTTTTCCCAGCTGTCGGGCCATGAGCGGCATACCATGCGCCGTCCGGTATGCCATGTCGTCTTGTTTGCCGCCTTCCTTCAGCGGTTCCCCTTCAGTCAAACCCGTGAAATAGCAATGTCACGGAGGAAAGTGTTTGTGCAAGCATCACTTGGAGGTGTTAGTCCGTCCAGCCTGTCCGGTTCGGGGCTGGTGAGCTGGAAAGCAGATGAGAATTCCCCCATCCTCCTTAAGCGAGAACCCTAAATGAAACAATCCGCTGCAAGCACCAAGATTTTAAATAATGTTTAGCCCTGTTGTGAATGTCCGATGGTAGAGCAGCTGTTCTCTGTTTACTCTGCAGCCCCAATTTATTCGTTCTTTTTTGGTTCTCCATGTGTTTTGGATATATCGTCTACAGTTACATTTCTCCCTCTCTCTTTCTTTCATGTTCCTTTGCCTCCTTTTGTTCACCATCAAAGTTTCACAAGGTAAGTTTGTTTCTGTTCTTCCTCCTCCTCCTCCTCCTCCTCCTCACGCCCCGTGGCAGCTCCTCACAGAGAGCAGCAAGTTCTCGGCTGGGGCGAGCCATGTGGGATTCACTTTGGCCAATGCTGTCTGCTCCCAGCCTGAGTCCAGCTGTGTGCCTGTACGTGTGTGTGTCCGTCTGTCTCTGTGTCTGTCCTGTGACTGCACAGCCCCAGGGACGCATTCGCTGCTCAGCGTTGAAATACCCCTCGGGCTGCCCCAAGGGCACCCTCGGAGCAGGGCGGGGACCCGTTTCAGCATCGAGAGCACCCTAAGGCCACCCTCTGCACAAACCCAGTCCCAGTAGGACAGCCTGTGCACACACTGGTTTCTTTTTGTCTGAATCTTACTTGCAGTGGTTTACAGAAGTACAATTTCAAGCAAACTTGATTAAATCAGTCATTTTGCACAGAGGTACTCAGACCAACTTAATCGTGATCCCAGAGCCGTCTGCTTTACAGAACTGCACCTTCACTGTACTGCAGGCTTACTGATGTCAAGCTGCTTCATACCGAATAGCTATTCCTATGCAAGAAATGCAGTAACTATTTTCATATATAAACTGTTCAATAAGTTAAGTCTGAAGTATTTTAATAAATAAGTTTAGCATAGGACAGGTCATCTTTTGGCTTATTTTGATCTTGTACAGAGAGATACAGGCTCAGCCACTGTAAGTGGCTTCCAGCCAGCTTCAAAACTGATAGCAGGACTGAAAGGATTTCTATTATACCTTAATAAAGGGCATGGCTACACAAGCTACTGTAGGCATAACCTAGCTTGCTTAATTTAGCTAAGGATTTATGGTATGCCTCAACTCTCTAGTCCATGTGGTTGGTTGGTTTCTGTTGTGTTGGTTTTTTTTTTCACCATGCTCCCTAAACAAATTAAACCAATGCTATAGACAAGCCCAGATGACAGGTTTCCAACCAGTTCATCTTGCCTTCAGAGCTGACTCACACTTAGAACATAAATGCATACGAAATCATCGTTTCCCCCCCCCTAGAAAAAGCTGGTTGAAAGAGGTGAGAGTTTTTCTGTTCAGCTGCACACGATCGGCAGCAATGCAGTGCAGGGTAATATGTGCTGCTCAGTGTCATTAATCTCCACCTCTATTCCTGAGCTCGTTCAGCAGTAGGAGATCCAGACGGCCAAGGCTGGGGGCATGCATGGATTTTCCAGAGTACAGCAAAGTTTATTTGCTAGGGCCAATTCTTAGTTCAGCGAGAAGTCCCTTAAAGGTAGGGGTTGTGGCACTTACTGGTATTTTGTGTTCAGCTTTTTTAAGGGACTGACAAAAGCCTGACATAAGAGCTGGAAAGAAACATTAAAAAGCATCAATGGAAAGGGGTTTGAAGAGTTAAACATTTTTCTGAGATGTGAAATTTCAGACTCATTTGAAATTCAAACTATAAAAATAACAGGCTACTTATGTTATTTAAACAAAGAGAAAAAAACTCCAGATTTTTAAAAGGTTTCTAGTTGAAAGATCTTCACTGTTGCAGGCAGTGCAGGTAAGGACAGTTTGGTTGCTTCTTTGAAAAGGAGATTTTTTGCATTGATATTACCGTAATAACAACCCCAGCTTCTCTTAAACAGCAAGCAAGTAAAGCTTCTGGTGCTGCCATTGCAACCACCTGGGAAAGCATTAAAAAGAAACCCAGTATTTTTCTTGTTATACTGTGTCAGCAGAAGAGCTGCGGGTGCTCTCCTATTGCCCTTCCCTGCCCTAGCCCGCTGGGGGCAGGAGCCCTCCCCTATGGGATTTGCAGCCTCTCCTCAACCACTATGTACTACATATGGAAAGGCAAATAAAGTGGGGCCCCAGTCCCCCGAGAAGCTGTGACGACCAGCAGAACAGGCTGCTTTAGCCGTTGCAGCATCCATGTGGCTAAAACCCAACAGGGCCCCGGTGTCTGCCGGGGCCAAGCGTGAGCCAACACAGACCAACCTCCCCCCAGGGCTTTGCTGCCTCGGTCAGGAGGTGCATTAGACCCCACGTCTGGGGGAAGTGAGGAGGGGGCGGAGGAGAAGAGATCCAGGCAGCTTCCCAGTGCAATTGGTTTTGCTGCTGGAAAGCTCATTTTTTCTCCAGTCCCATGGGATGGCTGCTGTACCCCCACAAAAGCACCTCTAATTCTGGAGCAAAGCAAGTGCATAATGAAGCAGTGAGAGTATCGCCCACGGAGGCATCCCAAGGTCTGTGTTTGAGCTCTGACAAGTCAGCCTGTGATTAAAGGCATCCCCCCCTTCTCCTCCAAGAGATGTTTGTTCACCTCTGCAAACCGCAGTGCAAATTGGTTGCTGCTGGAGACCTCCGTTAGCAAAAGCCAGCACAGGAACTCAAAGGTAGAGGAAACCAGCCTCCTCCTGCCTGGCAGTCCTCTGGAAGGACGAGGTTCGGACGTAGATCACAAGTAGAGATGCGTGTGTGTCCGATGCACAACCAGCAAGCTGCCAGGTCAGCGCTTGGGAACAGCAGTGTCTCTGCAGCAATATATAAGTGCGTACATTTCCCCTACACTGCAGAAAAACACACTCCAGAGAGGTTTTATGTTATTGGGCTGTACTGGAATTGGTGACCACAGGTACCTACTGCACCTTTATAACCTCTTGGAGGGTACATGCCTCTGCCCATGCAGGGGACAGCAGCAGGCACTGCAGCAGCAAGGCTGGACACCAGCAGCCTCATCAACATGCCCAGGAAGGTGGTTGCACCCTGTGGTTGCCCAGGGCAGGCGTTGGCTAGAGCAAGACAGGGCGGCTTGCCGGGCTGAACCTGCCCCGGGGCAGCCTGGTGGCAAGGGGGGACACAGTAGCACCCCTGTTTTCACACATGGTTTGCCACTCCTGCTTAACTAGGCTCATGGCTCGCTTGAGCCTCACCAAAGGTCCCCGTTATGAATTAACACTAACCATGTTCCCTTCCCCTCCCTCCTCACAGGCTACAAGGAACAGGGGATCCCACAGCAGCTGTAGTGGCTGGGACAAGTATGGTCAGAGAAACACGGCGAGAGATTTCCTTTGGCAGCTGTGGGCCACGGACCTTTTCATTACCCTTTGTCTCTCTTCTTCCTTTTGTTTTGTTTCCTTCTGTTTGAATCCGGATCATCTGCCCGTCCAGCGGAGCGGAGGTGCAGAGCAGCCGACGGAGACTTGCACTGATCCCATTGAGCAGCGGAGATGGGGCAAGCACGGCGTGGGTTAGGACTGGCCCCGGCAAGCACGTGGTGGGCGGCCGAGGAGGAGGAGGAAGGTGCTGGGAGAAGGAAACAACCCTGGCGAAGGTGGCACCTGGGCAGGCAGCTGAGCCGGGGGAGCGGGAGATGCTGCTTTCTCTCGCCTCCGAGGGGGAAGTAGCTGAAGACATTTTGCCTCCTTTTTACGCTTACCATTAAAGCAAACCGGCTGTGAACATCAAATGCCAAGGAACTATTAATAGATATCTGTACAGTATGTAAAAGCAAACCAGTGGTACTTTTTCCCCACCCCGAGAGTCCATCCTTGACTGCTTTGCGGTAGCGGAGGGCTCAGCCCAGCCTCCTCTGCTGCCTGTGTATATATGATGCTCAGTGAAGCTCTGTCCTTGCAGATGTCTTGAGAAAAGCGCTTGCTGTAAATCGTATTGTACTGCTGAACTGACCGGGGCCGTCCCCTGCTTCCATCTGCTGGCACCCTGCGAAGACCAGACCTCTCACCGGCCCCTGGGGAGACTTTATCTAGCAAGGGACCAGTGCGGTGCCCTGGAGCCCCACAGCACCTTGCCTCTAGGGTGGTGGGCACAACCACGTGCTGTCAAAAGCTTCTAGTGTAAAACAATACCAGAGGAACCAAAAAAAAAAAAAAAAAGGAAAAAAAAGAAAAGAAAAGAGACTCTTCTTCCCCTCCCCCTGAAAGGGTCTTGCTGGCAGCATCTCTGTGCTTTGGAAATGGATGCCCTTACAGTGTGGCGTGTGCTCCTGGCTGAAGCAGTGTCCCCGCTCTGCTCCCCCGGGGTAAGTGCCCAAAGCTTGAGGATCCCGACCCGGTGCTAACCGGGTGCTCAGTAGCGGTAGTAGTTGGAAGGCCCATGGCCAAATGGGGTAGGGCTGTGTTTTTGATTTGAACACATAATGTGCAGAGCTGAATTAGGCATCCAGGTGGAGTGACCCCTCTGATCCTGGCTGGTGTTTCGGCAGGAGGAGAGGAGCTCCGCTGGGGTGGGGGGTGACCCAGTGGCAGCACCTGGCTGCTTTTCCACTCCAAAAAGGTGGTGGGAGGAACCCTGCCGAAAAAGGGCAAAACTGGGCTGATGCTCTCGCCCGGGGAGGGTCCTCCCAGTGAGAGGAGCTTCACACAAACCCACTGCCAAGACCAGGAGTGTGACAAAGCTCAGACCTGCTTCCAGCCCATTGCTCCTGCAGAGGTGCAGCCGGTGGGCAAGGGGACAGCAGCAAACCCCGGTGCCCTACAGGCTCCCGGCCTCTCCTGGCACGTCGTTTTGCTCTTAAGGCATGTTTTCGTTTTCCGTGCAGAGCAGATCCTGTCAGTTAAAATAACTCCTGTTGCAAAGAGAACTGAGAAGTCGAAGAGCAGCAAGCACCCCTGAGCATGCGTGTCTCCTTGCCTGACCATCTGCAGACAGAAAGTGCAGAAATGCCTTCCCAGCTTCGAAAACACCCCGCTGTGCACTGTGTGTTTAACCCTCAGAGGCATCATAGGGGTACACCGAGCAGGAGAGCTGCCTGCCGAGGGTGGAGGAGAGCCCTGCGCTAGGCAGGGTGCCTGTGGGCGATCCCCCCAGGGAGCTGCTGCGGTAGGAAGCTCTTTTAGTGTTTCCACCAGCAGGAAACATGGTTTAGCCTCCCCATAGCCCCAGGTGCACTCCTGATGGCTGGAGACCTGCTGGTTTTAATGCAGGACCTTTTCTCCTAGAAAGTTTCCTACCTGCTCGATGCCCGCAGTTCGCTGTGAGCCCACAGCCTGTGGAAAGCAGGCACCGATGCCTCTCCCCCAGCTTGCGAAGTCCTTCTTCTAGGGCTAAAGATAAAGCATAATCCACACTCCCAGCTAAGTTGTGGTGGGACAGGACCTGTCCAAACCATGTGAGCTCATCCAGTGCAGACATTGGAGCTGACGACAAACTTTTTTCACCCCACCCTTCGATGACTGCCGGCTACAAAAAGCTTTGGGCTGCCTGAACAGGAGAAAGGGGCAGAGAGTAAGGAGCCTTGGGAGCAGCAGCCTTCGCTGCGAGACAGGAGACTGCTGGCTCGAGCACTTCCCCTGACCTCAGCAGCCTTAATTGGAAGAGGAAATGGAACCCATATAATAAGGATGCAAACTGGTGACACAAACAACTCATCACACATTTATCAAGCCAGACCTCAGCTAGAGCAGTGTATTTTGTAGACATTCCCTCTGTGTGGTGGCAAACACTACCTGGTGTTTCAGCACGGTGTGCCTGAGCCAACACGCTCGGCTAAACGCCTGCAAAACTGCACAAGCCCCACTGAGCACACGTCCCACAGTGCCTATAGTCTGTAGGAGACGTGTAAACTAGCTCTTTGGCACATGGTTAGCAAGAGGAGAGGAAACAATTCAACATAAAATGGATTTGTAGAAGACCCTTGAGATTAAGTTTAAAGCAGTATTTCACAGGTCCTGGCCAAATGTTAACAGTACCCTCCTGCACCTGTAGGTGATTCCTATCATCGCTACCCCTGTTGTACAGCTGAGAAACAGCAGTATGCAGTAAGGTTAAGTTACCTAACTCCAAAGCAAACCCATGGCAGAACCACAGGAATAACTCAGGCTGCGTTTCTCTTGCCTCACACCCTAAGCAGTGGCTTGTATTGCTATTCTGGCCAGCCAGAAATGTGTAGTTAGCAACTACCCTGTATCCAAATGGGGGTGCTGAGCTCAGCTTTTTGGGCTGTTCCACAGAAAGCAAAGATCCATAACATGGTGCAGACAGGAAAAGCTGCTCATTTGTAATTTTAGAGGAAGAGAGATGAAAAAAATACCACCTTTTTGAGAGACGCAAGCCACACAACATGGGCAGCAGTGAAGTGGGTTTCTTTGGAAGACAAGCACCAGTCAGTGCTTCTTGTTAACGCAGGGCTGGAAGCGCTCAAGAGGAAAAGCAGCACAGTTATCCTGCCACGATGCTGTGCTGCAGCGAGGCATGGTTACCTTGCTTTGCCAAGAGGGGCTTGCAAGACAGCAGCACTTTGGAAAAAAAAAAAATAAAAAAATCAACTCCTAGTAGATCAGTGGTGGAAAGATGAAACCCAGGAGTGATCCGACAGCTGTATTAAAGCCAAAGGATGAGCTCCTCAAGATTATCATTGCCACAGCAATCACCAAAAGGATTTCTGCTCACGATGTTCAACAATTTCAACTCTGACCATTTCTACCAAAAGGACAGGTTAAGAGGGTGGCTGCTCAGCGACCTTTGCTGTAGCATCTGCAGCTCTGTGGCTTGCAGGACTGTATGGATGTTATAGAACTGAGCTTCACCATTTACTGTGAGATGGAGAAGCTCTGCTCCTTCATTTTCCACCTGGGAAAATAAGGGGAAATAGGATCCTAACCAGGAGCAAACAGGGAATCAGTAGCACAGCTAGAAAACACCTTCACAGGCTGCTGCTCTGATTGGTGGGAATTCTTTTTTTGAGGTTTATAACTAGTCATTAAGCCACCCAAACAACTCGCCAGCTCCGCCGCAGCAAGCGCAGTGACCAAGAGCAATGGTTACCCCTCACAATTGCCAAAACAGGAGTGCAAACTCCAAATGCTGCCTGAGCATCAAGTTAGTTGTGCCATGGTCTCGGGATGGATGTGCGGGAACCTCTGCAGACAAGCTAAGGTCTTCTGGTAAAGGTGTTGAAAAGAAACCAAACTGAGCCTTTGGGTGCAGCAGCTCTGAAACAGGAGCAGCCAAACGTGGCTTAAGAACAACTTACTCTGGTGCCTGTGAAAATGGATTCACTTTTAGAAGAGGGAAATGGATTCACTTTTAGAAGAGGGATTTAAATATTTAGTGGTCAAGCAGTGCAAGAAGTCCGAGTCTGGCAAGGGTTAAACAGGCTGACATTTTCACTGGGCATTAAACTGCCCAAAGTGATGTCTCTTGTGGCATCAGATGTCAGACTGGCAGCAGATACCCCATCCCAGCTCAGACAAGGCAGAGACCCAGTGCCCATACCAAAGCCCCCCGCCCCAGGAACAAAAAGCAGCAGGAGTAGCTCCTTTTCAGCATGGCCAGGGTTTTGCTGGCTTTTCTGGCCACACTTGGTGCTGTCTGTCTGCATGCTGTAGTGAGAATGAGAGAATTGGATTAGTCGGGGAAGAGCTTGTATGGAAATGCTGCCTTCCCTGGGACTGCCGCGGGTCTCCAGGGAGCATCGCTTCAGCAACGTCTGTGTGCTGGCTGCATTCATAGCATGAGGGAGTTTGGCACTGGCACCACTGTGCAGGAGAGGTGCGGGATTTCAGGTTTTGCTCTATAAAAATTTTTCTTATTTTTGACCTTTCTATGAAATTGGGGAAGCCAAGAAAACAGCCAACACACCACTCCAGAGGCTCTGAAATCTGTCCATTGGACACCCAGGACAAAAGGCGTTATTTCTGCCTGTTGGGGGGGATTTGCTTAATCGATTTTAATTAGCACCAGACAGATTCCCACTCTGCTTTAGGACAGTAGCAACTTTATAGATTGGCCTTGCTGCTGGGGAGCAAGCGCCAAATTCCCTTTTCCCCAAAGCTGCCCCACTGCAGTAATAATGATAAAACCCTCTGTTTTTTCCAATAGCCCTGGTTAAAACCAGCACCCCTAAACTCCCCCCAGCCCAGGTGTGACCAGCAGCATGCCCTCGGGCAATGGGCAGCCCCTGAGCCTGGTTTCAGGTCTCCCTGTGGCAGGTAGTGAGGAGACACGGGCTGCAGTAAGCTGGGAGGCTGAGCCCTGCAGGGAAGGGCTGGGGAAGCCGGAGGGG